TTTTTTTTAAGATTTTATTTATTTATTTGATGGAGAGAGACACAGCGAGAGAGGGAACACAAGCAGGGGGAGTGGGAGAGGGAGAAGCAGGCTCCCCAAAGAGCAGGGAGCCCGACGCAGGGCTCAATCCCAGGACTCTGGGATCCCGACCCGAGCTGAAGGCAGACGCTTAACGACTGAGCACCCAGGCACCCCGAAAGCCAGGATTTCAACTCATGTCTCCCTGATGCTGAAATCCACGCTCTTAGACCCCACTCTTCTGGGCTTTGTGTGTCAACCAATTGGGCAGTGAGACCCTCGCGGAGGGAGGGAAGAAGCGAGTGAATGGAACCACACCTGACTATGCTAATGCAAACCTTTGGTCTTCTCCTTCCTTCCAGGTGGGAAGCCGGCCTGCCATCAGAAGGCCATCCCCACCGCTCACCTCACTTTTGTCATCGACTGTGCTCGTGGCAAACAGCTCTCCCTGGTGGCACCCCCAGTGCCGCCCCGAGCCCCCGGTCCCCATCTGGGACCTGTCACTCCTCCAATGAAGACCTATATCTTGTTCTGTGGAGAAAACCGGCCCCACCTGACTCAGGGGGCCCCTCTGGGTGGGGGACACCTGGCCCACGCCGGGGGGACCCTGCCACCCCGCAGTGGGACGGTGGCCCCAGCTTCCTCCCCAGTCGGTCCACGTGTCCCCCAGGAGGCTCCTGAAGCCAAGGGGAACCCCTTGAAGACTGTGCCCTCAAGGTCTTCAGCTTGGGGCACGGTCATCGGCTCGCTCAAAGCCCTCTCCTCCTGTGTCTGTGGGCAGGCAGAGTAACAGGAAGAGCCTGGCCCTGGAGGAGGGGGTTGGCACAGCAGGCTTGAGAGCTCGGGGTGGGGGTTGGGGGCTGCAGTTCCCAAAGCCCAGCCCTCTTTCCCCACCAAGCAGAAGTCTTTGTGCCTGAGCCAAGGAAGAGCATTGGATCAGATCAAGGACATCTGAAACAGCCACTAAGTACACACTCAAAGGTCTTCTCCTTCCTCCTCCTTATCTTTGTTCACCTTTCACTAGAAGCAGGATAAGGCACCTATGCATGGAAAGAGACTAATTCATTCCTACAGCAAATCCTAATGGAGCATCTTCTGCATTCCAGGCTCTGCAAAGTACTAGGGAAGAGACCACAGCATTCTTGGAGCTTATCCTCAGAGCAGTGGGTGGGGGTGAGGGGAAGGGTTAAATAAGTAAACAAATAAATAAAGATGATTTTGAACAATGATGGAATGAGTGCCGTGTAGGAACTGAAATGGGGTGCCGGGATGGGGGGTGATGGGGGGCAAAGAGCTTTTCTGATACGGTGGGTGGGAAAGGCCTCTGAGTGGGTAACAAAGTATGATCTCGAAGACGAGAAGGAGCCAGCACTGTGAAAATCAGGGGCCAACCCGAGCAGGGTGAGGATGCCCCAGTGCAACGGGCAGGGCCAGCGAGTTGTCTGCTGCCATCCTGGCTTTTGTGCAATTGTGCGGGTCCCTGGGAGGTCCGGACACCGGGTGGGGAAATTCCGGGGGCCCAGGTGGGGCCTGGCGATCCAAAATAGGAAATAAGGGGAACTGCTTCTCAAGAGGGCCTGGGTGTGGGGTGGGGGGTGTGCTCAGGAAGGTAATGGGGAATCATGTTTGAACAGATACAAATAAGAGCTCTTATTTCCTGAGCAGCTACTGCGTACCAGGCTCATGCACCCCTAGGGAGACAAGGCGGTCCCTGCCTCCCGGGGCAGTCATGTTACCCAGCGGGAAGGGCGTCCCTGGAGTGCGTATGAGGGTGTGTGCATGTCTAAGATGCACGGCGTTGTGCGGAATGCTACATCAACTCAGCTGAGGAAGTGTGTCTCAAGGCTGTCTCGTTAAAATTGCTGAATGTTCGGAGCGCCTGGGTGGCTCAGTCAGTTAAGTGTCTGACTCTCGATTTCGGTTCAGGTCGCGATCTCAGGGTCTTGAGATTGAACCCCGTGTCTTCAGGCTCCATGCTCAGCGGGGAGTCTGCTTCAGATTCTCTCTCTCCCTCTGCCTCTGCCCCATTCCCTCTCTAAAAACCAAAATTGCCGAATGTTCACGTATTTATTCAATGACTATTCAACTAGTTTCCTACAAACCCTAGTAGCTAAGGTGTGTTGGCCGTTTGTTCTGTGCCAGGGAAGAGACATCCTGTGAGGATGTGCCTGGGTGAGGAAGCTCAGATTAGGGAACTGAGGTACACGGAGCTGAGGGATGCACTCAGGTCCCCCAGACTGGTACAGATCCAATCAGACCCCAGGCAAGCCTGGTGCTCAGGTTGCTCCCAATCCTAGGGCCGGTGGCTTCTCTTCCCAGCAGAATCTCTCCTAGGCAGAGGGGATCCAGAGAGAATAGCCATAACTCAGTCCTCCGGGAGCTCACAGCCTGCTGGGGGAGACAAGAAAGGAAGATGACTATTACCACAGCATCTGATAAGTGCAACAGTAAGGACGTACAGAATAATGCTGGGGCTGGAGGAGGGTGTCCAGCCCACTCTGGGGAGAGGAGATCAGGGAGTGCTTCCCACAGGAAGTGATGTCTAGACTAAGGTGTGACCAGTGAGTGAGCCACACAAAGGCAAGGGAACAGGGGTGGGGAGTGTTCCAGGAAGAAGGACCAGCATCATTCAGTCTGGCTGGAGTATTCATTCACTCACTCAGTATTTATTGGGCACCCACTGTGTGACAGGCTCTGGGCTAGACCCTTAGCTGGAGCAGTGATAAGACAGACAAGGCTCTGCCCTAAAGGAGCTTATTCTCCAGCTGGAGGAAGACAACACGTGCATGTGTACACGGAACAGTGGCCAGAGGAGTGGCAGGGACCTCATCATGTGAGGCCTTTAGATTTTATTTTAAGATAGGTTCTGTTGGAAATTGTGAGCAGTGACATGCCCAGACCTACCTTTAAAAAAAGTTCTTGTAGGGGGCGCCTGGCTGGCTCAGTGGGTAGAGCATGTGACTTTTTAGAAATTTATTTATTTGTTTGTTTGTTTATTTATTTAAGTAATCTCCACACCCATCACGGGGCTTGAACTCAAGACCCCGAGATCAAGAGTTGTATGTTCTTTCTACTGAGCCAGCCGAGCGCCCTGAGCATGTGACTCTTGATCTGGGGGTTGTGAGTTCAAGCCCCAGGTGGGCATAGAGCCTACTTAAAAACAAAACAAAACTTTCCCTAGCTCTCGTGCTGGGACCAGAAGTCATGGGTGGGGGTGCAGGAGGGGGGTGGGAAGCTTAGGAGGCTGCGCCCTAATCCAGACAAAGAGGGGTGGCGACTTGGTCTAGAGAGGTAGTGACGGAGTAATCTGGATAATATCTGCCCCTCCTCCCCCCTTCGCCGGTTGAGAATCCCTGGACTGGAAGAGCCCAAAGACGCAGCTGCAAAGGGAGTTGGAGGCCCTCAAGGAAGAGGGTGGGCCTGTGGCTGCACATCCAGCTTTGTAACAGCAGGTGTCGCCCCATCATCAGACTGGAGGGCACATTGTCCGGGCCAGCTGGGAGGGTAGGCAACAGCTGGGCAAGAAGCCAGAGTCCTGAGCCGGCCACCCAGTGGGGTCCATGTTTCCAGAAGCCAAACTTCATTCTAACCAACACCCCCTTCGTCCCGATAATGACTACATGTATATATGTGTGTGTATATATATATATATATTTTTTTTATTTTTTTTATTTTTTAGTACTCTACACCCAGCATGGGGCTCGAACTCACAATCCTGAGATCAAGAGTCACCTGCTCTCTGACAGAGCCAGCCAGGCGCCCCATGACTATGTATATTTTCATATGCACCACACACCACCTCTGTTCCTCTCATACCAGACCAGAGAGATGGATACGACTTTTCCTGCCATTTTGCAGATGAGGAAAGAGGCGGAGCCCAAATCCAAATCCCAGGCAGCGTGAATACACACCTGTAAGCCACGGCATCATGACCCTGAGCCATGTGGCTGGCACTGTGTTCACATTTTTTCAATGGGCAAATGGTTTTACGAGGAACCAGCCTAGGGCCTGACAGTGTGCAGAGGGTGTGTGGGGCTAAACAGGTGAGCAGGGCCCTCATTGAGATGGAACTCACAGGTGGAGGAAAGAGCTCAATTAGTCTCTCTACCCACAATCCTGTGAGGCACTATCCCATTTTACAGATGTGGAAACCAGGGGCTCAGGTAGGGAAAGCAACTGGCCCAAGGTCACACAGCTAGCAAGTGGCAGAACCAGGGTTGAAATTAAGGTAGTTTGACTTCAGAGCTTTGCCTACCGTCCATACTGAAGGAACTCAACAAAATTCTGTTAAGGGAATGAATCAATAAATAAATGAAAGACTTTATTGAACCAGTGAGTTAAAGTGTGAGTAAGTGAATGTGTTTCCAGCTTGGCAGACATGCTTCATCAGGACTGTATCCCCAGTGCCTTAAAATGTCTATACATGGGGTGCCTGGGTGGCTCAGTTGGTTAAGCATCTGCCTTCAGCTCAGGTCATGATCC